ATCTATTGGCAGGTCAAGTTGATAGGGCTCATTAAGGGCTTTAATTACTTTCTGATTAATACTCGATGAAGTCTGAGTTAAATTTGGCATAAAGACGTCAGCAAGATGAGAGGCAAATGCCTCTCCTTTCTCCTCGTCACTTTTTGCCCAAGAACCGTCCCTTTTGCGTATTGGTGGGTTAGAGGCAATAGGCCTTTTAAGTTTTTTGGTCGCTTTCCAGAGGGAGTAGTCACTAGAAGCCGTGGCATCGAGATGGCTTAGCTCATTCTGTACAATATCATTTCTTTCAACTTGCAGTAGTTTTTTAAGTTTTGTTGATAAGTTGTTCAGACGTGATTTGTCCTTGGGGAATCTGGTAATTTGCCATAGTTTTCTAGCCCGTCTCTTTTCGGCCACTAGTTCACTAACAGCTTTTGAGCAATCTGGTTTTGAATATTTCTTAGGGGCAGGTGTGCTATCCCAAGCTGCTTGTTGGACACACTCGTTGAAGTGTTCCACTGCTGCCATTGTGTCCACTTCATTTTTAAGTGCTATATTGGTATTTATCGTTGATTCTACCATTAAGCGGAAATTGTCCCAGTTGGTTTTACGTCCGTGTAGCTTAGGTGTAGGTTTAACAGACGAAATTTTATGGGAGAATTCGAGTAAAATCACGCTATGGTCAGATGAAAGATCTTGAAGGGAAATGCATTTAAAATTGTTAGTAGGAAGACCCTTAATGACACTGAAGTCTACCAAATCGGGCACTTTCTTTGGGTCTGTCGGCCAATAGGTTGGTTCCCCGTTTGATACTACATCTAGTTGTAGATCGTTTATAGCTGCTTGTAGCTGGCGTCCTTTGGGAGTAGTTAAGCGTGAGCCCCAGGAAGTATTTTTGGAATTATAGTCTCCACCAGCTATAAATCGTGGTCCTAGTGTCTTGAAGAAGGTGATGTAATTTTCCTTTTTGATGGCATGTTTTGGAGGAGAATACAGTGCTGTGACCGTTAAGTATCCCCGCCAGTCTTCTATTACAACACTTGTTGCTTGAATCTCAGGGGTTTGAAATGGCTTCGCTTCATGGTGTTTTATATTTTTCTTAATGAGAATCGCGGATCCTCCATGTGCCGTACCGTCTGGATGCATTGTGTGATAGAGTTGGTAATTGGCGATTCTGAGGTAACTCTTTGTCGTGAAATGTGTTTCAGATACGAGCAGAATGTCTATCTTGTTTATTTTCAGAAATGTCTCTACTTCCAAGACATGGTGTGACAGCCCATTGGCATTCCAAAGAGCAATTTTTAATGAGCAGAATGTGACAATTTGGTCATAATTTCCATTAGGAGGTTAGTTATTGAAGTCAATTGCTGCATTAGTAGTGTCATGTTTTTCATAATTTCTTTTATGTCATTATTCGGTACTTCATTTGCATTTGGTTTGTAAGTAGTTGGGTGTGGGGGTTTATTAGTCAATAACGCTTGCTTGTACGATGACTGCGTTTCTTGTTTAGTAGAGTCCGCCCTCTCTGATAGGTATTTGGTGCTTCCAGTTTGTCGGTGTTTTGCAGGTTGAATGGGATATTTGATTTTCTGAAGTTCCTTATATATTGAGCATCCTTTATAGTTTGCCGGGTGGTTGCCATTACATAACACGCATTTAACTGAATCTGACCTTTCTCTACGTTGACAATTGGATGATGCATGGTCTCCCGCACATTTTATGCATTTGGGTTTTCTAAAACAATATTTTCTTGTATGCCCATATTGTTGACAATTGCCACATTGAGGAATTTCACGCTTCGGTCTTGGTGGTTCAAATGTTACTCTACAATGGAGAAGACTTTTGATGTCATATATTAGTTTATTATTGGTGTTAGGTTCTATTTCAATGAAATATATCGGCAGTGGTTTTTTAGTACTTCGTTGCTTGACGTTCCAGATATTTGTGACCATATGTCCTTGCGATTCTAATTCAGCTTTAATTTCTTCTGTATCAGAGGACGGGTGGAGATTTTTTAAAACAACTTTGAAACATCGATCTTGCTTGGGCCGGTAGGTATAAAACTCTGTATTTCTATCTTGCAGGTTTTTTACAATTTTCGTGAATAGTTCAGTCGATTTTGGCTGAATTCTGACTTGTTCATTACGAAGAATTTTCACTTCATAGCTATCTGCAGCTACCTCATCGAGCATTCTGAGTAATGGTTGTATATTACTGACCCGGTCCACGTATAGATGCGTATATATGTATAGCATGTGCATGGAGCATTTTTTCTTATGATCCACCGAGTGCTCATAAGGACGCTCGAGGGGTTAAGAGTGCGTTACCGGCCTTTTTGGAATTAGGAATTTGAGGATTGTTGGGGATTCAAGGATTGGGGAGAGGGATAATTGGACCTCCGGTAACCTCGGTAACCTCCGGTAACTCAGACGACGAAACACAACGCAAGCGTTGTTTCACGTCGGTTTTCTGTGCGGCCGTATCAACTATCACTCCGGTCGAATCAGCCCATTGGTGCTGAAGCATGGCTCGCCCACACTTAACAACACACTTAGATATGTTAGTAAAGATTATAAGTAGGTAAATGATGGTCTATAGTTTTACTGTCTATCTCCATGAGACATGAGACAAAGGCGTGAGTTATGTAGATCTATGTACCTATGTACATACCTTTTTAACCAATGCCCTTGTGTTTGCGTTGTCAGTAAATAATGTGCATAACTAAAATACATTTAATTTTGTTCGTACCTACATCAGCAATATGTAAACTGTACTTTACATTTATTGGGTACAAACAAGAAACCTAAGTTTGTTTGTTTGTTTCTTTAATGACTTATTTAGCATCGTATTAATTCTAATGCTACATTTACACTCTCGCGCGAGTCGAGGCGAGGCCGAGATATATTGTCGTTATTTTATAAGAGTTGTAGTGCTTCTCGCGTTATTAGGCTGCGATGTACCTCACCTCGTGTCCGCTCGGGCGAGAGTGTAAATGTAGCATCATAAATCACAGATTCGTATTACTGTGCGACGCAATTGGGTCCTTTTCAACTAATCAAACTTAATACTTTTTTCGAACTGTCAAAAACGACAGTTTTCTATGAATTTTGTACGAGATTGTGTATTGTGATTGTGACGTCACGTCTTTATAGCGTCAAACTGCATACTCATTTCTTAAAAAAATACTACACAAATACTAAAATTAAGTTGGTCATAAAATCGATTAATGAAAGTGTGATTATTTTTTAATATTTTATTGTATTGAACAGTCGAAATAATTTATTTTTGTTTATCAAAAGTAAGTACCCAATTCGTTGTAACACAGTGTAGTGTCAATCGCAGATCATGTATAAAGGAGGTTTCAGCCTAAGTGTTGTACAACAAGGCACTGATAGACCCTATGGGAACCACAGATGGGGCCTAACAGGGCTGATGTCGATACGGAGCCGCGGAAGACTTAATGGGTTGCCGGGGCTCCGGCTCGAAGTGCAGGAGTAGGAAGGGGGTGGTTTTTAGTCAGTAAGAGTCTGACACTCCCTCCCGCCTCACCCGGGCGGGACAAGTCATTGGATGATTTTCCCCCCTCAAAAAAAAAAGACCCTATGGGAAACTATGTTATTATTATGCACACGACGACGCGTGAAAAAGTTAGTTGTCTTCATTAATTAGGTACCTACAATTAATTAAGTGCTTGATAACTTTTTAGCTTGTTCGTATTATTTGAATATTGTGCTGTGTAAGCTCACACCGCGCATGTCACTTTGGAATTTTACAAAAACTACGTACCTAAGTATTTTGTTTAATTGTTTTGCAATATAATTAATTATGATCATGACCTACTGTACTGTCTGCTAATTGTTTTATATGAACTAAGCATCAAATTTATTAGTGCATCGAAACTATAAATAACATAACAATATAATATCACGCCTTTTTATCCACGAAGGGTTAAGCAGAGGTGCATATTATGGCAGTTAATGCCACTGTACAATGTAACACCCACTTTTCACTATTTATGTTATGAGTCTCGTGTAATAGGGGGTGAGCCTTTTGCCATATACCGGGCACAATTCCAGAGTCCGTGCTAGTACTGAGATTTTTAGATTTAAACCCAGTAGTACATTTGCCCGACCCGGGAATCGAACCCGAGACCCCTTGTCCGGCAGTCACACTTTCGACCACTTGGCCAATGAGGCAGTCACAGCACTCCGTGCCAATACTGAAAATTTTAAAAAACACAGTAATACTTTACCCAACCCGGGAATCGAACCCGAAACCCCTTGCTAGCAGTCGCACTTGCGACCACTCGGCCAATAAGGCAGTCACAGCACTCCGTGCTAATATTGAAAATTTTTAAAAACCCAGTAATACTTTGCCTAACCTGGGAATCGAACCCGAGACTCCTTGCCAGCGGTCGCACTTGCGACCACTCGGCCGACGAGGCACTACGTGATAAACTGACAAACAATTAAAACAACCGACATACAAAAATATGATTTATTCGAAGTAAAAATACATATTTCTTACAAAATATACAAATAGTTAGTTTCTTTACCGATCTATAATAGGCGAGTGGTATAATTGAAAAGCTATCAATGAACTTACTATAGTTACGGAATAATTAAAAACCTGACAATTATCAATAAACGTCGATTAGGTAAAATAAACCGTGAAATACAAACTTACACATTGTTAGGTGATTTTATTACTATATAAAATAAATAGAAACCTTGTTGAAATACAAAATTAAGTAGGTACGAAGAGAGTGCAAGACAAGTCTATAAGTACAACATTAGTTTCACATTTCACAAAACACGTTTCATTTTAGATGCGACACGACATACCATTGTCAAATCCGGCTAGGATTTCATTAGCAGAGGGCGAATTAAAAGTACCTACGAAAGACGACACTAAGCCCACTTTACTGAATAATTAAGTGACAGAGACAAGACCAGAGAACCATGCCATTTCTTCTTAAAACTAACTTTTCATCTTGCATTGATCGATACAAAATGACTTCGCTACACCATTCTTACGGTCGGCAGACCATCATCTCCGTCATCTAGCCTCAATTCCTTCCCATATCTCTGTAAAAGCTCTAAAACGATTCCATTGGTCCACCCAAACCCAGACTGGACGGAGTACTCGCCGCCGCCCCCGTGGTCTCCCGGCTGCACACAGCTGTATTTCTCAAACATCTTCTGCCACTTAGTATAACCTATATAATTTGCACGGATCCAAATTGCCACTTGGTCCCTTGCTAACTCTTTCGCCTCGTCATTGCCACTCTTTTCTAAACCACCAATCATGATACTCTGAAGAGGCGGCCAAGCATTAGGAAAGTCCCACTGCTCACCCGTATGCAACAACGAAGTCGGTATACCGCCGGGAAAGCTCAGTGCACTATTTGATTCTAAATACGTAACTAAGTGGGACGCGTATGTAGGCGCACTCGACGTCTCTACAGCATTGGCCCAGAGAGGAGTAGCACAGCTTGCGTAAAATTGTTTCTTTCGTGACTTTGCCGTGGTATCATAATCATACCAAACACCGTCGTCCGGGTCCCACAATACGTTCTCAATCGCTACTCTCCAGTATTTCGCCAAACTCCACCATTTTTGAGCACTACGTCTATCCTTAAGTTGATATCTAAGGTCTCCCATAATTTGTAAGGCGCCAGCAAACATAGCATTCAGATCGACGGGGAGAATACGTGATGTGTGGACGTCGGTCAAGTTGTCCGTAGTCACATTCTTTGCATTCACAAACCACCTGGATGAGAAATCCCAACCGCTCTCTGCCGCACTCTTCATTTCCTTGTAAAACTCTTCACGCTTGTCTTCCGACAATACTCTACTGTTGGCATAATCTTCGTAATACGATTCGGGACGAGGCCCTTTATCTTCTTCATCCGAAATGTAACGCAAAAGTCTGTACTGTTTACCGTTCACGTTAACCGTCATTTTCTTCTTTTCCAACCAATAATACAACTCTCTCTCTACTGTATCTACAATCTGCTCGAGCCAGGCGACGTCACCAGTTGTAGTGTAATAGTCGTGGACCATTAGGGACAAGAGAGGTGGTTGGCTGCGACCTAAATAATAAATTCGGCTTCCATTGGGAATATAGCCTAGTTTATCCACAAGATACAAGAAATTATCGATCATCCCTTTCGCAGTTTGAGTCATATTGCTAATCAAGAGACCGCGTATAATCCAGTACGAGTCCCAATAGTATAACTCTTTGAACCTGCCACCAGGAACAATAAATCCGTTGGGCACATAAATAAAACTGTATTGATCCGAGTTCTTATTTACATCCGGAGATACTTTCCGGCCGAGGTCTGGCCAAATGCTGATAATATCTTGAGCAAACTGCTTCAGCTTGGGGTCCACAATTTGATTGAGAATAGGGGGGTGAGGATCAAAATCTGGAGGGTTCCAGTTGAGCAACTCATCTCCATCTATAAAGTTTGCATCGACAAATGCCAAGACTTGCTCACGATTTGGATTATTCCTTGTTTGCTTCATAAGATTTTTAAAATTGGCGAGAGTTACATCTTGAGTATGTGTGAGTTTTAGGTCGACGAATGTCTTCGAGTCAGGAAATATTCTGGCGAACTGTACCGTGTGGAGTAGATCTCCAGCGCAGTAGATGGAGGAGTTGCAGACGGAGACGATGTTGATAGCATGCGCGCACGCACCCAGCAGGCCGAGCACCGGGTACAGCGGCACGTACCGCGGTAAACATATCTTCAACATTGCTATTCACTGTCACAGTTTCCGCCGAACACTTACTGGCGAGTGAGGGGGAATGCGCGATAACCGCAATGTCTGAGCGCACAGCGTACAACGACGCGACCTGACGCGGGGCGAGTGGCCGCAAATCTGAGCAACACTCATTAAATGCATTTCGTGCATCATCACGATCGGTTGTCGCGAATACGTTTCGATGACTGTGTGTTAGGTCGCCGACCCATATCAGCTGGTCGTTCGAGCACTTTTACTACCGCGGCTGTTGATATCATTTACATTACACTTACACACGCGATATAATACAAGGTCATTTGGTACCCAAAATAAACATACGTTCCCTTCTCTCAAAGTCATAACACGAACTGTCACGTTGCACTGACATTATGTTGTCTATGTTTTACATATCCAGTATCTATGATCGTCGGTGTCTATACGCATGCGTAAAATACGTCACAAGCCATTGACCTGACTTGATTGACCTATATTAAAACCTCGGAACAATAACTAAAGCATTATTGTTCCGAGATTAAAACTAATGTTTTTGCGCATTTTTTTTTATTAGAATTTTTTTACGAGGGAGTTCCGAGCTAAAATTGAATGTTTATTTACTAACTTTATTAATCATAGCATTATGCCTACGTATGTAAAATACATAGTCATTAATTTCCTACTTGATGGCCTATGAACTTGATTTATAAGTCTATGCTATTTAATTAAACACAATAAAAGTGAATAATATAAGAGTATTTATAAATATTGCGCACAAGCAGCATAAGGTTAATCACTTAACTTCCTATTAATAATAATTAAGAAGAAGGCAGTTCTCCTAGAAACGGCACGTATCGTATTGTGATTATGAGTAGGTTTCTGTTTCTGGCTGGAGTCCTAACCACCGGTAGCTTGGACCATGTTCCCGTTACCGGTTGATTCCTATTTTTTGTATTTTTAAATATTATTTTAATTTTAAGTAGTATTTAAAAATATAATTCTTAGACGATTTTAAATGAACATATGAAATAATAATTATATAGGTAAATCTGAACGTTTAAAATTTCTATCGAAATCCTATTACACCCTATAACTTTTATCCATTAATATTAAAGTAGTAGCCAAAACATGTCAAACCCGCAACAACAGAAGAGTTAGAAGTACGTTGCCAACCTTTGGAGGGGAAAGGGGATCCATCATTCTAGTCACAACAACTTGATCAGAACCGATCGCTGCCTAGAAAAGGTAAATAGTTACATCTAAAATTCTGAATATAAGTAAACGCCATCTAGACCATCATTACGAAAACACTACCGTAACTAATTTCCTTACGCCAGACCCAACACGATATACATAGATGTCGCTACAATATCGTATCTGGAGCGTCTGGAGCAAAAACAACCAATAATATAATATAATGTCCCAGAGGGGTGGACAGAGGCGACAGAACTCCAAATGTCACGATTCTGACATTTCGCTTATTTTGTGGGAAAGGGCAAAAGAGCCGAGGGATCTCGATGCTATGGCCATGGTAAGCAATCAGCGCGCCCGCGGAAACACGGGTAAGTGACAAGCACAACACTGGCTTTCAGGAGAAGGGAGACAGGGATTGGGTGCCTATGCACTTGTTCAAACATGTAACTACCACGGAACTGTTCTGTTTCGTGTATTTAATAAAAAAATAAAATATTGTCTTAAGCCTCAACGTATTGGGCTCGCTGCTATTGCAACCGTAAGTCCCCTCTTTGAGGAGTGCCTTCAGAGACGCTATGGGGTCCTCACCTAGTGCCTGGCGCAGATGCTTACCGGACATGAGAGGTTCGGGAGGTGCGTCTGATAGGGCGGGACGAAACGCCTGGGTGTCATCACTGCAAGGTCCACCCTGAATATACGGTGGGGGCATGCCCTGCATGGACTGAGCACCGCTGGCCCTCAGGGATGTGCTCGGCGACGGCGACCTCTTGCGTCCGGCCCTAGTTCGGGAGAGGATGCGAGGAGGACTGGGATGGTGAGCATGGGTAGCTCGCCGCCCGACCAATACCAGAACCAAGCCATCAGACCACCAGGCACCATGGATGGGGCCCAATAGGGCTGATGCCGATACGGAGCCACGGAGAACGTAAAAGTTTACCGGGGCTCGGGCTCACTCAGGCGGGATATTTTTTTCCCTTAAAAAAAGAAAAGGCTCAACGTATCGAAAAAAGTCAGTTTAATATGCACCTGCAATACTTCTCCAGGGAATAAAAGGAAACAGTCAAGCAGTCAATTTTATCAGTAATAATTTACAATCGCTGATAATCACTTAAAGTCATACAAATTGTTTTCACATCACTATTTCATTATTACCTCTATGTTGTCCATTTATACCAAGTAATAATAAAATACAAACTTACTTTAATAAAAATGAGCTCTAATTCAACAAATTACAAGTTATCACCAAAATTATGACGTACTTGACTATTGCGAATCTATTTCCTACGCTATTATTCGGGCTTTCGCCGTAGGGAGCAAGAGGAGTAATGGCAACTAGGTCACTTAAATCGCTAGCAGTAATATTTTTGTATTTCATTAAGAACTCTAACACCAAACTGTTAGACCATCCGAAACCAACCTGTGAAGGGCATCTACCACCATCACCACATTCCCCGATTCTTTCTACATTATACTTCTGACACAAAGCACTGTACTGTCTAAAGCTCACTTGGCAAGCCCTAACATATTTTTCCGCAATTTTAAAAGCAATATCCTTCGCCTCGTCTGTTCCAATGTATTCCAGAGCGTCTACCACAACACTAACAGACGATGGAATCATGTTAGGGAAGTCCCATTGTTCTCCAGATTGTATTATGGAAATAGGCACTCCCCCGGGATAATCCAAAGCATCGGAATTAACGAGATAGTTTAGAATCTTCTCTCCTTTATCTTTAACAAAATCCGATCCTACAGCAGACTGCCACAGAGGTGCAAAATTCGAAGTGTAAAAATATTTTCGTTGTGTATGGTTTATCAAGTCATAGTCGTACCATATTCCATCTTCTTCATTCCAGAAAACTGACTGAATGGTGTCTCTCCATTGTTGCGCCAATTGTGCGTACGTGTCTGCCTTTTCCGTATTCATTAAATCAGTGTGAAAGTTTGCAATATGCTGGATAGCATTAGCGATGATTGCGTTCAAGTCAACTGGGATAAAGTACATGGTGCGAGTGTTTTTTCTAGGGTATACACTTGCATTCGCAACAGGATCGATAAACCATCGCGATGAGAAGTCCCAACCACTCTCAAATGCACTCCAAACGCCATTAAGAATTTCTATGCTATCTTGTTCACTAGAGTCTTCTATCAGCTCACTATCAAAATAATACGAGTAAGGTCGCGGATGAGCACCGGGAACAAAATATCTAAGTACCGTATAATTTTTGCCGTCCTTTGTGATGTTAATTGATCGCTCAGTAGACCAAAATTTAATTTCTGTTTCCAAATATTCGATATTGTTTCTGATAAATTCTGTATCGTTAGTGTGACTGTAATAAGTAGCAACCATTTCAGTCAACAATGGCGGCTGACTGTGTCTCTCATAATACCATCTGTTTCCAGCGGGTACGTGCCCTAACTTATGTACAAGTTCGAAAAAATTCTCAATTACTCCTTTTGCACTTTCTTGCATTCCACTTATAAGTAGGCCTTTGACAATCCAATAACAGTCCCAGTAATACATCTCTGTGAACAACCCTCCGGGAGTAAAGAATCCATGAGTGACAGGAATTAAACTATAGCGATCAGAGTTTTGTACAACTTCATCTTTGACTTTGATGGCCAAATGAGGCCAAAAATTGTGAATGCTTTTGGCAAAGTTTCTTAAAGTTTCATCTTCTATACCATTTAAGAATTCAGGATCACTGTTGAAGTCTGGTGGTATCCATTTTTCTACTCCGCTGTCTGTAGAGAAGTATTCATTTACAAATTCTTTCAACTTTTCCTTAGACAGGTCGTTGTTACTTGAGTTAAGTAATTTCTCGAAATCACTTAATGTTTTGTTTTCATCATATTTCATGCGGAGATCGATGAATTCCTTAGGGTCCTCATGGACCCTATTTAATAGGACTAACTGTAGAAGCTCGCTGTTGCAGTAAACGCGCTTACTGCAGGCAGGCAGTATATCTGCACAGTCGGCCAGCATTATTGTGGCCGCCAGTAGAAATGGGAACACCCGCATCTGGAAGTAATGAGAACATTCATGGAATATGGAAACAATATTATCATTGTTAGTATAATTATCAGCCACAAAACATCTGCTGCTGATCACAGGCCATAGGAATATAGAGCATAGACTGTTGGAAGCGACCTGCATCCAGCAGCTCCTTGCTACTTTAACTAGGTCATTCGTCTACCGTGTGGATGGACGACCATCAATTTTAATTGAAATTGTCGGTAAGTACACAGTTAGAGTGCTATCACGGGACGGAACGCATACCCTGTAACTAGCTGTGCCCAGTGTCAGAAAAGAACATTGTGTTTTTGTCGCATATTAAAATTACGTTTTACCTATATAAGTGCCCCTTTACTAAAATTCGTTGCAATAAGTTTTTTTATAGTAACGAAATATTTTTTTTCGGCTTGCTCTCGTAATAATAATTACTCAGAAGCCGAAAATGTAATAATTAATTTAAAATGCCGCACGAATTATCATCACGCCTTTTATCCCCGAAGGGGTAGGCAGAGTTGCACATTACGGCACTTAATGCCACCGTACAATGTGACACCCACTTTTCACTATTTACCTCTACATATGTTATGAGTCCCGTGTAATAGGGGGTGAGCCTATTGCCATATACCAGGCACAATCCCAGACTCCGTGCTACAACTGAGAATTTTTTAAAAACCCAGTAATACTTTAATTTACATTACGAACATTATAATGTACTTATGTCAATGTCGGCATCTTAGCTTCGTGTACCAGTAATGACTGAAACACGACGACATTTCCGCCGAGCTATTTCTCAAAGCTGTTCTCAATTCTT